GAAGTGAGGGGAGTACAATGACAGGGGAACCTCACAGTGTGGAAGGACAGGTGAAGCAGTGAGGGGAGTACAATGACAGGGGAACCTCACAGTGTGGAAGGACAGGTGAAGCAGTGATGGGAGTACAATGACAGGGGAACCTCACAGTGCTGGATCTATAGTGACATCCGGTTGAAGCTCTATTGTTTTTATTCCCGTGTTGAGAGATTGAGAATATTAATATCCCGGAGTCAGAAAATAAGATTTCCGTCTGCTTTGACTTCCTGTAAAGTAGTAACCCCTTGTCATCCTATGAATTTCTGTCACAGTTATGTAATATTCTATACATAGCCAGGAATACTAACACAGAGCCCAGTGCAGGATGGGGGAACTACTAATCCATGGTGCTGCCCACATACCTGGCTATTATGTATGTTACTTTGTATATAAACCATCTTCGGAATTAACTGACCCTTTAAATAAGTTTTCTGCACCACCCTCCAATCAGATGAACAGGAAGTCAGCTGTGCGTAGGAAAACTCCCTCCCTCAAGATCAACATTTTTTCTAAAATATAATCAACATATACAGTATATTTGTAAAGTAATATAACTCCTCTATGTTCCTATGTGTAAGATTCCTTGTTTTAGGTCAGAATTACTGTAACTGACCAGAAAAAAACATATATACAACAGGCATCGCATTTCATATTGTGCAGACGTAATCTTTGTTACAATGTTTTAATCAAATATACTTCTGTAAAGCTCTGTGTTCTTTGTGTTACAAAGCTCTCTTTAAAGTAGGACTCGAGCCACAACCTTTGGTTTTTTTTAACATTTTGGATAAGGGAGAGAAGAAATAAAATGCATCAGGTATTCATTGCCATCTGATTTGTCGTGTTGACCACTGCCCCCGGGACAGAAGGTGAGCAGAGATCTCACATTTTGCAGTTGTTCCCTTGTGGGGATATCATCCAATCAGAACACATGTGACTGGGGACAACCCTCCAAGCTGGGCTTTCCTCTTACTTTGAGGGAACTCCCACTCATTTCCTGTCATGACCCTAGCATAGGAAGTGTGGGATAATCTCCGTAGTAGGGACAGACACAGCAGAGGCCCCAATTCTTCGACACTTTTTGCAATTTTTTTTAAAAAGTTTTGGATGGAGTTTTACTGCTTTTAGTGTCCCCTGCCATTAGAGATGAGGACTACCGAATATCTGTAAAATCATGGAATAGATTTTGGCATCTTCATGGTAGTAAAAAGTAAACTCATCATGGGAGGAAAGATGAGGCCCAGATGAGGGGGCCCTAAGCTGCATACCTGTACTAGATTCATGAAACAGGTAATGAAGAAAGAGTCAGCATAACAGAAAAGAAGTATTTTCAGGACAGCCAAACGTTGTCACCCTGGTTTTCTTCCAGAGGCAGCCATGACATTACAATTGTTTGATATTCTAATCATATCTACAGGAAATGCAATCACTTGTAAGCATTCATTTCATCAGTTCTAACCAGTATATTAAAGTAAAACTAAAGGCTCCTGTATGACAGTCTAAACAAGTACCAAATGCAGCTACTATGTGATGCCCAAGCCTCAAAATTAAAAAAAACGTCCTTTACCTCCCGAGTGAGCAAAATCCTCCTTAATTTGTGTCTCACAAGCTCCCCTCACAGACACTGCAGCTCACAGTGGGAAGGTTTCAGCATCAGAGACCGTGCTGTCAATTCAGGAAGCAGTGGGCAGGACTAGGTGTCGCCAAGTACTGAACGATAAGCTACAGGCAGTGACAATGCTGATGATATGCCCCCTGCAACATTTCCACATACCACTGTAATGAAAGTAGGCACATGAGAGTGACAACTATGCTCTAAATACAGGAGCAGTGCAGCATCATCGCCACCTCATCACAGGAGCAGTATTAGATAGACATGACTGGCAGGCCTATCAGGCATTTGGGGACAATGCAGGGAGACTAAGAGAGGACTGTAAGTGCAGATGCAGGTATAAGTGCAGCAGGACATTTTGTTTTTGTTTAATAGGAGGCCATAGTTCTACTTTAAAGAGACCCTGTCACCGATATGAATCTAAATATGGAAATATTAAAGGAAAAACAAAACTGCAAAAGAAGACCATTTATATTTGCCTGTGTCCTGTTGTGTGCTGTGGTTTCATCTACCGGCCTTCATATCAGTACAGAGCACAATAGTGACATGGGGCCGGAACCACAGCACAAAGTGAGGGACGGAGCCCGGAAGGGTCAGATGCTGAACATTCTGCTAGCGATTTTGCTCTATTAGGCCAAATACAGTCCGTCTTCTTTAGCCGGGTTTCACTTTTTCCTCCTGAATTTAGTTTACAGTTTGTAAAGTATTTATATGTTTGTGATTTGTTATTTTCTTTAGAAAAAGTAAAAAAAACAATAAAATCTTTCAATGAAGCAAAAGCAAAACTTCCCATAAACTGGTTACAATCACGTATATGTGGCACCATTGAAAGAGAAAATGTGCAAATAGGATCCAATTTCCAATCCAATAAAATAAATATAGATGCAAATTTGATATGTACATAGCCACCCAAATTAAAAGAACTATGGGGTGAGGGCTTTTCCCCATAGTTCTCCTAAGGGTAACGTGAGGACACAAACTAGCGTCCTCCCGTCACCCAAAGCTCAGTATACCGCTAGCTACAGCTCGCGGTATACTGAGACGCCGCAGCCGGAACGGATCCTGACAATTCTGTCTGGATCCACCCAGCTGCGTGAGTGACAGCTGGCTCTGCCTATCTAGAGGCAGAGCCAGCTGTACCAGCCCCCTCCCCTGTCCGTTCCGGATCGGACAGGGGAAGGGGGGGAATCCCTGCAGGAAGCCGTGACACGGCTCTCTGCACGGATAGATCGAAAAGTGAGCGAGCACCGGTATGTGTTCAGTCACTTCCCGATCTACTGAGCCGACCTGTGACAGTCTCATTGTCACAGGTCGGCTAGAACTATGAGGCTGAGTGATTTTCACCCACCTCATAATTCTCCTTTAAAGATTTCAGTTACGACTGGTATGAATGTGGCTTTGGCAAGACCCCTCTTCCAAATCATGGCTCTCTCTTCACCTTGCCACAGAGTCTCACTTCTACTGTATTCTATATCAAAGGAAATCTCCAACATAAAGAGTGCATTTTATGATGTTCGCTATTCATGGGCATAGCTGTGAATACCAACAAAGTCCTCCAAATCAGAAACTAATGGGTGACGGAATCTGGCCACCCAAAAATAAAAAATAAACAATTTGAGGTGAACTGACCCCTTTAAGACATGTAATGTTCAGCAAAAATGAAATGGTTGTCAGGCATAACTCTACCCTGGACCTCTGAGGTGTGTGATAATGTAGGACAGTCAAATTCTGATCTGCAAACACAGCATTCATCACCTTCATTGGCTTTTAAACTCGTAGCCCGGTAGAGAACAATTCAATTCTGCATGCTGCCGTTGAGGGCCGTGTCTACGGAATGCGCTAATAAAAGTTTTCAGCGTGCGTTTATAAAGCAGTCTATGTACAAAACTACACCCACAGCTCCCCTGCAGCAAAAAAGCAAAATCTGAATATTTCTCATGAGCCACAATGGACACTTCATAAGCCGGTACAGATCGAAAGGAAACTTTTTTTTCCCTTCTTCTACTAACAGTATCTTCTATATCAATATTGTAGAGCAGGGGTAGACAACCTCGGCACTCCAGCTGCACTGAAACTACAAACACCATCATGGCTCTGCCTCTGAAGTCTTGCAATGTCTCATGAGACTCGTAGTTTCATCATAGCTGGAGGGCCGAGGTTGCTTACCCCGCTGTTGCAGAGTTTGCCTTTAAACAGATAGTTTAGCCATTCAGTAATAAACAGAGCTGATAAAATGGGTGCGTGGAATACGGGTGTCCGGTGCAAGGAAAAGTCATTTTTCAATGAGTGCAGAGCATGGAAATCACACATTTTTCAAAATAAGCTCTGGAGATAGAAGAACAAATATATTTTATAGAATTTATCTATGAGACAATTATAAAATGTAAACAACTCTATATAACCACTTTGCTGTTAGCAACAAACTGCACAGTAGAAGGCAGTAGGGGCCAATTTACAAAAAAGAAAAATAGGAAGAAAACCGGATGTGTTACCTGTAGCAACCAACCAGACTTAATGGCTTCCGTTTCGCCTGTCCAATGGCAGGTTTAATAACTCAATGGCTTCTCATACTGTCTCTGGGACCCTGGTGGTGAGATAAACTCCCCATATAAACTGCTCGGCTGCCAAAGGCTGTTATAGGTAATCAGACTCTTGCCGGTGGATTTTCAGCAGCAGGAGTGGACACCTTTTTTTGCTTTGTAATCATGCAACCCGGGAGGCAGATCTGGCATCTCTGGGGGTGCGTTCTCATCACTGGGATACCAGATGGGCGCAGGAAGTCTGAAGATAATTAGGCTTGCCAGCAACCACCCAAAATTAAATCTCAGTTTTAGTTTGGCCTGGCCGCTAAAGTGAAGCTCCATGAAGGTATTCACTAAAACATATTAACTACGTTTTTAAATACAGCTTTGTAAAAGTACTCAAATCTATATTTCTTCCAGTATTTTCCTGCACAACAGGACTCAGGAAGAGGGAAAGCTAGCGGTACTGCACAGTGCACTCAATCTAGCAGCACAAGAGCAGAAAGATAACCTTATCAGCATTCTGCTGCTTCTTCAAATACAATCAACAGGTTGGGAATTGAGCAGTGACCAAGCTACTTTGCTCGAGTGCAGTGGATAAAAGCGAGGTCACCATCCTGACTGTTCTGGCAGGAAGGAGATCCCTGAATCACAAGGTTAACAGAACAGAACAAATCTGTGTACATATATGTATTTACATTAAAATGGTGTATATATATGTATTTCAACTGTGTAAGTATCCATTCGCCTGGAGCTCACCTTTAAGCTTTTTTCCCCCACTAATCTGCTCTAGAAAAAAGGAAGCTTCTGATTGGTTGCTGCAAGAATCAGAATTTGTTTTCTTGCTTTCCTCCAGTTTTTTTTTTTCATAAATCGGGCCCTATAGATTGCAAGCAGCAAAAAAAGTTATTTCATTTTATTTGTAAGTTTCATTATAAAGAAACACAAATATAAACTTCTGTCTTAAAAGTTGAAGAGAGAATGCTAGGTTTGATAAATATAGGAAGCTGGTTGTCCGTCGACCAGTACTTTGCAGCCGATAGCTCATAAAAACACGTCTGTCTGATTTGGTCTGTAGTCTGTAAGAAGGGCCCGAAGGAAAAGGAGAAAAGATCACTGAAAATGGAAACTGTTCAGGCGCCGCTGACTTGAGTCTCTGAGTCATGGCCAAGGCTAGAACTCCTCCTCTTCCTCCTCGCTTGTGAAATGGTTCTGTTTCTTGCGAACATTCCAGTGCAAACACTCAGCCAAGCTGTCGAACCAATCGTTAACCGGATCCCGGAAGCAGATGCAGGGGACAGGGTAACAAGAGGTAGTGATGCTAATACTGCAATGACAGGAGACAAAATTTAAACGTTAGCCAGCAAGATTAAGGTTAGGTTCACACCTAGGCAATGTATCGCGCGGATTTAGCCGTGCGATATCGCACAAAACAGAGATTTGCATTCAACTCTATGGAAGCTGTTCACACCTTTGCGGTTTGTCACGCGGTAGAAATCTCTTATTGTGCAGGAGCTATTTTCGGGCTGTTGCCGCACAGTTTGGGTCCTATAGACATCTCTATGCATTGAAAATCGCACACCAACCGCCCGGTTTTCAAAGCAAAATCATGCAAACAAAAACGCGACAACCGTGTGAAAATAGCTTACCAGCTCGTCTAGGTGTGAACCTGGCCTACATAGAAGTGTGCTATAAATTAGGTCCCTGCGATGTGCCCATAGAGAGCTTCCTATTAGCACATTCTACTCATTCTTGTACCCATTACTTCCAGATACAAAGAGGCACCTAGTCATTCCGAATTGAGAAAGCTGGTTGCATAATCAGTGAAACATCTTCAAGAAAAATACAGGAAGTCCAGTTGCCTTGACTTATTTTTTACAGATATACCATGACCTGGATGAACGAGAACCTTCACAGACATGCTAGCAAATTAAGTCAATGAATCTCCAAGTCTTCTGAGAGGGCACAGAATTCCCTGAACATTACCATGCCTCTTCATATATGCATTAACACATGATAAAGTGGTGACCCGTAAGACAATCACATGTAATAAAACCCTGTCAATGGTGCTTTGTTTTGCATCTGGGATATAGTTATTTCCTATATGTTTGGAACACTGATGGCAAGTTATAAGAACTTTAGCTCCTGTCAACAGAACAAAATAGGTGGTAATGCCCTAAGCCAGTGGGAATCATTGTGGGAGCTATAGCAGACAGTCCCCAAGAGGCTCAATTTCTCCTATAACAGAAATATCACACTTGGCAGACAGGACCCTTAAAAAAAAGTGTTCTTGTCCTTTAAAAAGAGAGCATGCATGTCACTTTTCCTCAGGAGCCATCTCAAACTACAACATCATAAGAGATTCTCACTCAGTATAAGTAGGTCTGTGGTCAGGTTGCATAAACAAAAGTCACAATCACACCTAGTGGAGGTCAGAAATGACAGCTGCCATACCTCTCTCAGTATAGATAACTTTTACATAACTGCCAAGTCTCCCTGGCTATGCAAAATCTCACCTGTCTCCATGGCAAATTTCCTGCCTCTTTCTTCCATCAAACGAGACCCACGCAGTGTTCCGTGCATTAGGAGATAGCATGATCTGCAAAAGAAAAAAAACAGTTTTGGAAATGGCTTTCTTATTAAGGAAAAAATAAAATAACTCAAAATGAAATACTAACTATGCCACATATGTATATGTTCCCTGCTCTGATTCTGCCCAGCTAACAATCTGACTACAAGAGGTGTGTTCCCACTCATGCCATCCCATTCTCCATCATATAAGTTACTTACAGGGAACAAGATGCCTCTATATTACTGTAGCAGGTGAGCAGAATTGGGAACTCAAGTGTAAAGATATCACCAGTGGAGTCTGTTCGGGGATTTCATTCATGAGCCTCTATCAAAGACTGAAACATTCACTTATACTGACCCCTTAGGAGTGGAGTTCTCTAACTTTCTATGCAAGTCATTTTGCCTGACCACACATATGCAGCTACCTCTGTGTATAGAACAGGGATAATATACGAGATACATGTGCAGTTGATGAAAAATAAGTGAATACGCACTACCCTTGTGCACACAGGACTATGTTGATGGTTGTAAATACACAAAATGCCCACACCATCACAGGCCACTGGCATAGGGATCATAACATAGAAGGGGCAAGGTTTACATTTTCCCAGTTAAATGTAAGTTCGTATTTACTCAAGTCAGGGATGATCTCTGTTACTATGCACATATGTAATGTGTGCATATACCATGCTTTGTGTAACCGCACATGGTGCTTGAATAGCTTCAGCCAGGGAATGACAGCTGACGGTGGCAAGATTCCACAGCTGGCAGCTGAATGTAAACACAGCAGGTAGTTGGCTGATGCAATAGGCAGCCTGCTATTGGCTATTTCAAATTGCGATAGCCGGATGGCTATTGCACCCGCCCTCTGCTTGCTGTCAATCAGCAGATGAGGGACTTGAAGGAGAGAGTACTCCTTCAGCTTCGCTCCTCTGCTGGTTGACAGCAGGCAGGGGGCAGGTTCAATAGCCAACCTGCTATTGGCTACAGCAATTTGAAATGGTCAATAGCAGGCTGGCTATTATTTCTGGCCACTGCATACAGTGTGGGCTCCAGCGTTCTATATCCCCCTCTGTTTGCCACCACCCCTGACCATACAGGCAGGGAAGAGCTTCGGGGATTGAAGGGAACATAAGCCGCAGCATGCAGCAGACTCCCAGTGAGGAGGAACGAGCATGCAAAGCGGCGTTGGCCTGGGGTAGATGGGATGGGCGGTTGGGGGGGGGGGGGAGTCACAGGGGGTTTGGTGCAGCTCTTCTCACCACTAGGCACTGGCTGCAGGGGTCTGTGCCCCCTCCGATCCCCACTGCTCCCAGGGAGGAAGGACACAGAGCCGATGGAACACTGGCTCCCAGCATGTAGGAGAGAACCAGGGGATCCGCACCAACTCAATAATGAGAAACGTTGACAACGATTCTCATTATCGATTGCAGCCCTAGAAAAGTCTTTGGGTTGAAGCTGCAATTTTGTTGATGGATGCTTCCTCGTCATATAAAAAGTATTCCCTCAATGGGAGATTGTGGTTTTGAGCTTGCAGACAGTGATAGAAGTCCCAGGCCCTTGCAGTTGTATCAGCCTTTAGTTACGAAGCTCTTTACAAGGACATCTGCCTCAATCAGCTTCATGCATTTCTCCTGATGTACTAGGAATGCATTTAGCTAATTCAAAGGGAACATTCAATTAGGCTTTAATCCGGTACAGTAGACAGTTTGAACTAAAAAACATTTTGGGATATTTGTACAGCTTAAAAAGGGTCAACTCTGCCGTGTAGAGCCAAAATCACTTGAAAAATGTTTTGGGTGGTGCCATTCAACATTACCAATGCTTACAGAAAATAAACTGTAATAAAAAGAATGAAAACAAGAAAACTTACTTTAAGTTCTACTCCTGCGGGAACCACGATTGGCCGGAAGGAAAGAGAGTGGGGACAGATTGGGGTGATCATAATGGCAGGTACATTGGGGTGGATCATGGAGGCTCCAGCTGCGGCTGCATATGCGGTGCTGCCTGTTGGCGTGGACACAATGACCCCTGCAGAGGACAGACAGACCACACACAGCAATTATGACACCTGTCCATTGCTCCCCGACTTTCTTTACTGACTTACAGAGAAAACATTAACATACACTTAACATTAACCTCTCGCACATAAGTTAAGGGACCAAAGGGCAGGAAAATGACATTTACAGGTTCTTTAGCCATCTCTACACAAACGGTCTCAGGTCTGTTCATCTACATGGGACATCTAGAAGGGCACAAGCACAGTCCTCAAAGCACTTACCATCCCCCTGAGCGGTAGTGATGAGGTGCCCATCTAGGAAGACGTCTACATTGGAGAGATAAGAAGAAGGACCCCTGTCCACTACTACTTCATTCAGGACCTAAAAAGTATTACACATATTACACATCATGTGACCATGCCAGGCATATTTTTCCAATTTCAGATATATAATACACTGTGAATATTAAAGTGTATCCAATCTAGGGATGCACAGATACCAAGTATCGTATTCAGTACAAGTACATGTACAGATACTTTTCGAGCTCCAAGACTAGACTAGAGAAAAACTCAAAAGTTAGGAGGCAGCTGTCATTTGTAAGGAGCACACGGAGCTCCTGGGATTTGTCCATCCTGTGTTTTAATGTATGATGTTTTTTTAATAAATATATATTAGGGATGCACCAATACCATATTTTTAAGTACTGATACTTGTCCAAGTACTCACAGATACAAGTACTGATACATTTTTGTTTATTGTCATGTGACAGTTTTTCTAATACAATACAGACTCATGATTTGAGGACAGTGGTGGAGCGCCAGAGCCAGGTCCCAGCTGCAACCCCTGCAGCCCTGATAGTTCTCGTGGCAATGCCAAGTATCGGCACAGGTATCTGAACATCCTTAATCTAAACCCAAACAATTAGACCAAATATGCTGTTTCACATGTTCCTGTAATATCAAAAGGATTAACCCATCTTTTAAATGTCCTGCTCTCAAAACAATCCTACCAGCAAAGTGCATCCACAGGCAAAAAAACACACAATCCTATTTTGCTAGCAGTGCTCTACAAACGAAATAGTCTTTTATTTTACATTTTAGTGGTAAATCAAACTAGAGTGACCAGTGATTTGTAGACCCCCATCAGCTCTGCTCTCCTCTAACAATTGTGTCACTATGCATTGGTAGAAGTGAAAAAGTGAGAATGTGTTTGCGTATCTGTGTAAACATGCTCGATCGCCAAGCGTTTACCTTGGCTTACCTCAGCTTCTGACCAAGCTCATAGAGCTATACCTCAAGGACTATGATTATTCATTATTTGTAGAACCTATCCTCCAAAATATCTTTCTACTGCACAAATAAATATTAGTGAATGGCAAGCCGGATAATAAGGTACACACCTGATACTTTGTTTGCCTGACCAGCTCCTTCTCAGGTTTGTTGACAATTAAGCCATTCTCCTCCAATCCATTCTGTACCAAGGACCTCTTCTCCTTGTGCTCCTTGGCCACCTTCACTTTTAGCCTGCTGCGGAGGACCAGGGCCGCATTACCTACAAGGAGATACAAAGGTTATCCTGGAGAAATATGGCAGAACGGTTTACCTATAATCCAGATATATAGACCAAAAAGTGACCAAATGTGATATATATTGCAGCTTACTGGACCTGATATGTGGTAGCTTCATTCGTTTTCTGTTTTTAGGCTTTTTTCCCCTTTACCTGGTGATCCTGCCAGTAACACACTTCCTATTCTAGGGTAACAACCCTCGCTCTCTGTACTGTATCTATGGAAGAGCAGCATTGTCACAGATCACCCTCCTCTCTCATCTTATCCATAACATAGTTGGAGGTGTTCTGTAGTCCTAATATATTTCCTGACACCACTGCATGAGACAAGACTGCAGAGTGCACAGGATGGAGAACAGCACTGTATTTCGGGCAGAAGCAACAGGTCATTTTTGCATTTATCAAACAGATATGACGAGCAAATAAAAGCCGTTTATTGTTTAGGTTTACATATACTTTAAAGGAGCCAGTTGTGAACCAGCCAGGTTATCCCTAAATCTACTCTATTTATTTCGGGTAAGACTCTTATATCACTTAAAGCTGATCTAATAGATACAAATAAATGCAGCTCTGTAATCATTAAAAGTTTTTTTTAAATGCATGCAATGCAAGAACCTACATTCAACCTGGTATCAGCCTCTTGCAGTTCTTGAACAGCAAGGCTGGAGTGTGAGGACAAAACAGCCGCACTCTATTAGCAAGAACTCCAGCAGTGTGGGGAGGTGGAGAGGTGGAGAGGGAGTGTGGCTGGTTAGATGGAGATGTCTGGGGGATGTGGATGATGTGCAAGCTCTCTCACTTTGCTCTGAGTGAGCAAAGTGACAGGCTCTCTTTAATTTTCCTTTCAGATGCTCAGGGTGATGCTTCTGAGCTGCATCAAGCGAATTTGTGTTTCTTTTGCATTCACACTGGCTTGTGGGGAAAGGAAAGCAACTCAGAGACACTGTAAATATATTTAACAAAAGGGATTGTACATTACAATGGGGATATGCCAGCATCATGTTTACTTTGCTCTTTTATGTTTGAGCTCTTTAAATTTTTCCCATGTAAACAAAAGATGGAGCCTGTTTACTGACTGCCAACTTGTCCCCAGCCCACAGATCAGCAGAGGTAACAGCCTTCTTTTCAGCCTGCTTAGCAAATTGCTCTGACACAAAGGAACATGCCAATTGCAGCACACACTATTCACTGAGTGATCATTAACTCTGCTGAGACAATAGAGGAGCGCCAGGGCTTTGCCCGCTGAAGAGGAGTTTGGCTGCCCGTCTGCTGACCTCCGGGGCTTTTCTTACCTTCTATAACCTGAGTGACCTGCGTCTGGAAGTTGTCAAAGCTGAAAGGGGTGAGGAACCCCAGTGATCCCAAGTGAAACGCCATCACAGGAGGGACACTGTCCTGCAGAGAGAAAGAAAGAAACTTCCATGTAGAGACAACGTACAAGGTGCAGGAAAAGACATGCATGTAAATTGCTGACTTTACCAAACGTCCCTTCACTGGAGAAGATTCGACAGGATAATGGTGCAGGATTCTTAAAGTAGAACTGAAGCTAAAACTTTATGTTTAGTTTTAGATAGAGTTAGGAGGGGGTTATGTGTCCTGTCATCCGTGTCAATTTGGGGGAATTTCCCTTTACATCCAGTCTAATAGCCACAACAGGAAGTGAGGGAAATCCCTGGTGGTCAGCAGGGTCTCCAGAACTAGTGTCCCCATTGGAGGATTTCCCATCTATTTTTGTTCTGAGAACAACCAGAAACTTGGGATTTTATTTTACTTTCACCTTCAGTGATAACAGTCACCAGGACAAACAGGGAGGGTGAATCTGAAGATCAAAGACAGCAATAAAAACCTGACATGAGCTCTAATCCCTATCCAAAACAAAAACAAATGGCTTCAGTTGACTCATGAAAACTTTAAAGGTTTTTTTTTTTTTTTTTTTTTTTTTTATTATTTTATTAGTGTATCCATACATGACAAAGCACTCCCAGAGCACTATGGCTTTTCTAAAGGAACAGCACAACCACAATTATCGCCATCTAGGCAGGCTGGTGCTAACTAAAGCAGAGTGGAGCTGTATGAAGGGAAGAGGGAGGCGTAGGAGTCACAGATCAAATTTCAGCTTGAGCTACTGAGCTCTGTAAACAGACCTCTTACAACAAGAGATAAGACGAAACTAGAAAATGTGAACATGAGCCTTGAGCTCCCCCTGCTGGCTGGATGTATAAATACATAATATCCATTTGTAATATTTCACTTCAGAAAAAACATTAAATTGAATCTTTCAGCCCTGGCCATAATTAAGAAAGAAATACACCCACAATGCATTTCCTTTTAAGAGTCAGTCTATTCAAATACTAATTAGTTGGTAAAGGTTTATGAATGCCAGCTTGTCTGGACACGCATGAAGTGACAGAACCGTGCTCAACAGATACTGAAACCAGTACTGAAAGTGCCGTGGGCCAGGTGTCTGCCTCCGGATGTAAAAGGAGTAGAAACAGCTCAGACCTGTTCTTATTGTACAGATTCAATAGAGGTTAGGACAGCTCAGGTCACTAAAAGGCAATGGAGGATTGCACTACGATACCTCTATAATTATGCGCTCGGAACTATGATCTTATGATTATACATTACAACCTCCAGCAAACGGTGACTACTAAGGACTGTGGGTATCAGCTCCTGTTCCCATGCTGAACTGGCAGAACGTTTATTGCCAATCATAGGGTCACCGGTAGTATTGATTTAACATGTTCTAAGTGACGCAAATGTCACAGAGATCTGAGGATTTATTTTACCTAAAGCGTGTGCCAAGGCAAAATAAAACAAAAGCCTTTTGCAGCACATCTCACATACATGCACATTTCCCTGCCTTCTATCCCTTTACAGACCCTGCAATTAAATATAAATACGAGTTGATCGGTCTTCTATGCACTCAGCTCCTGAATGAAATGAACAATCATGAGCTGACAAAAATGTGTCTCTTGCTACTGTTGAGGGTCACTAATGCCATCATTGGAGTCCCCACAATTGTGCAACAATTTCTCTCTACGGGTATCTTGGCGTCATTCCAAAGTTTCATCTTACCTGGAAAAGCGATGATGCATACAACAAGGTCCCGTCTCCCCCAAGGCAAATAATGAAGTCAATCTGATTAGAGATGTCATCAAAATCTAGAAAAACATTAATCAAATAGGCAAACGAGGAAATGTTTCAGATTCTTAATTATAACCAACGAAGCAGAAGAAGTGATCAAAAGGGAGAACTCCGGGAGGACTCGAGGCCTGTGAACACCATGCTGATGTGGCCTGTGTACATATGCTAATCCTGAAGGCAGTGTGCTTATCGTGTCTATAGGTGTAATTGCCTAATATTCAAAACAGAAAGCCCCCGATTATGCCCCTGCACTAGAAAACATACTACTGGCATCAAAAATTACCAGGAAGGTATTATAAATGTACTTCATATTAGAAAAATGTTCCTTCTTATAACAAATGTAAGTCGATGGGGAGACCCTCCGCACTCCCCACAGCAGTCCCGGCCAGATACGAAAAAAAGTGGTGCTCGCAGTGATGAATTACCACGGATGGCGCCGTGCAAACACATGAAAGTCAGGAAATCACCAGCACTCAGTAGTAAAGATAAATATGTCCCTTTTATTGGACAGAAAGCGCCACAGACATCCAAATAAACCGACGTTTCGGGGCCGTGCAGGGTCCCTTCCTCAAGGCAGAAAGATGTGACCTAGTCCTAATCTTATAACAAGGCATTTATATTCATAACGCTTTTAATACCATAACTTGGACATATAAAATACTCCCTCCAACAACAAATGGCATTTCAGGGTTTTGGTAAATGCCATATAATCAATGCTTAACAATATCTTATAACTCTGGAGGGGTCCTGTGGTGAGATCTTTGAGCGCCATTCCCCAGTCTGCACACCTCACCTTTACAAGGGGATACCAATCTCCCAGTTGGATTTGTCATGCATTTTATATTATGGAGAATTAAAGAGGAGTGGAAACAGGTAGGCAGGAGCAGAGCACTAACGGTGGTGAGGAGATATCATCATTTCAGTCCCCAAGAGATACGGGATGTCAGAGGAAGACTCGGGCCACCAGACTCCACCTACGGAATGATCTTTTAAGACTTGCAATGTATGCAAACCCAAAAACAAAAAGTACACTTCCTGGCTGAAAAAAAAGTCACCACCTGGATTTAGATAAGGAAATAGGTAAGAGCCTTCCATTGGATAAGTGTTATGATCAGTTGGCTGCTTCAGTTGGTCAGGTCTACGTTCAGCAACATTATGTCCCCAAATAATTAGGTCAGTTGGCTACCTGAATATACTGAATGAACCTGAAGGCCTGGGCATATTCCATATTGACAATGCCAGGATTCATCGGGCTCAGATTGCCAAAAAGTGGTTCAGGGAGCACGAGAGATAATTTTCACACATGGATTGGCCACCACAGAGTTCAGACCTTAACCCCATTGAGAATCTTTGGCATGTGCTGGAGAAGACTTTACACAGTGGTCCGACTCTCCCATCATCACTACAAGATCTTGGTCAAAAATGAATGCAACTCTGGACAGAAACAAATGTTGTGGCATTGCATAAACTTATTGAAACAATGCCACAGCGAATGTGTGCTGTAATCAAAGCTAAAGTCTGTCCAATAAAATATTAGAGTGCATGACTTTTGTTTTGGCCAGGCTGTGTATATTGCAGCTTACCAGTTCTAAGATGACCTGGCAGCATCAGTTTAACTTTTTCAGGCTACTTTTTTTCTAAGTATACCTGGTAATCCTGTGAATGAGATATAACCTGTCCCTTCATGTCTACACTTACTTCTCCAAGATATCCATGGAAGGAGCCATGATTGTCAAGGCCGGACTTTAAACATGTCTGCCTTGGTTCATCTCTAAAGCATGGTGAATTGAAGGACCCAGTAGTTTACAAAAGAAAGACAGCATTGTTTATGATGCCTGTTCAGCTCACAGGAAGTGACCAGGATTTCTGGCAAGATCAATAAGTATTTTCTGTTCTTGCTGAAACTGTTCTAAAACTGAAAAAAGGAAGCTAACGCATTCACCATCTAAGGACTGGTAAGCTGCAATATATTACATATGTGTGCTTGGGTTTAGATGCACTATTTTTAAATTTATAGATTATTATCAGTTTTATAATAGAATTCTTCTGACAGAGTACATTTGGCCCTTGCCTTAATGACACACACACACACACACGATATGTTCCCCCACCTTTCTAATGATGGATGAAGAAACTCTGGCATGTGCAATTTGTCATTGTCAGACTCCCCATTGTCAGGAAGTCTGAGTGAATTATACATATGTAATGTATCTGCCTGCCTTGTCTTGTTCTGCATAATCTAATCCACTGCTATCTTATCTACACTACATTGATTTAATCAGTACACTACCTTAATGAAATAATGTTTCCAGAATTTTATGGGCTAGAGGTTAACCAAATAAAGTCTAAAGCAATATCTCTAAACAATATACATTTTTAATCAATTTCATCACAAAAATACCACCATTCCAAAGATTGTTTTACGATGTATCTCAGATGTCAGACAGCTGAACCTCAGTGTCGCTCAACCCTTTCACCTCCTATTCAAACAAGCATGGTTGGGTATTCAGTAAAGCTGGCTATACACCTATAGATTATCTGCAGATTGTCTATGGTCAGATGGAAAAAGTGCAACAGATTCCTCCATCTACACTAAACTGTGTGGATCGAGGAATCTCCAGCTGGCTGTCAAAATACCTGAACAATGCCTGCAACCAATCATATTGTTCAGATATTTAGAGAGCCAGTAGGGCAGACTAGCAAGATACTGAAGCTTGGCCCAGCAGGAGATTCCTCCACCCACACAGTTTAGTGTAAAGAAAATCTGCAGATAGTCTATAGGTGTATGGCCAGCTTTACACATCTCCTAGTGCAATTTTAGTTTCCAGACATCAGCATTGACCATCGTTGTCCAAAATATAAAATGTTTTTGTTCAATCACCAGGAACATAAAGTACAAAAAATATAAATACTGGCTGCGGCATTTCAGGCATATCAAGCCAGTAATAACTAAGGGCGGGTATGGCTGAAACGTGTCAACCTCTTTTGTACTGTATGTTCCTGAACATTTAACAAAGACATTTTATTATTTGGAAGATAATGGTGAGTGCTGTCATCTGGAGAATGCAACTCAGATGTCAATGTCTCAAAAATAAAGTCAGACACCTGCATGGTCACTAAATCCTCCATATTTAGGGAAAGAGGTAAATCATAAGAGGGTTGGAAGTAATATATTGTGGATGTGCAGAATTCACATCATCAAGATGAGCTGGCTCCCAAAATCTAATACAATCAGCTGAATACATTTCAAGAATGCAAAGAATGCAGAATGCGAAGAGTTTTAAACTGGTTCGGCAGGGAAAAATGTCCAGGATTAATAGACAAGTAATGTTCAGATGTAGAAGGAAGTGTGGCAAGTGTACCCATCAACATTTGTAGATGGGCATTTTACTAAAACAGAAACTATGGCACACATGGGCAGAGGTGTGCTGGCCAGCTCACAGACTGAAGAAAAGGCCAACCGGTGCCAAGAAGCCAATTGGTAAAGGTCATCCAGACAAAAAAACATTTAGGAATGTATATTCAGCTGAACAAGCTCAGGATGATTGTGGGGCATGAAAGCAGTGAACTAGTGTATACAGAAAGAAAGGCCAAGCAACGGAAGCCTGACTTTATCCCAGTACAGGTTTTAAAGCTGAACTCCAGGCAAACATCTAAATACACAGATAATAGCCAAAAAACAGTGTTTTTTCCTGCCAAATTTTGTATTTCTGTCCATCCAGCACAGTCAGCTGGATGAAACCACGTACAATAAAGGAATAAAGTGGTGTCCTCCACCCCCAGGCTGCTGAATGGACAGTGAAAGAGCAGCAGCAAAAGGATGAGGTTATCCCTAAGATCTGCTATCTCCTCTTTGATAACACAGTTGAATGAAACTAGGTTGCTCAACTTATTTTTAGGATTGGGCATCCTGTTCTGCAAAAGACTTGGCTCGCCACTCTGACCCCTTGATCTGGCCTAAGCGTTAAATATCTGGACTGTGTAAGGGGGAGTGAGTGGTCATATGATAATCACATCCTGGCATAATCTTACCTCCCAACCATTTCATATCAGAATGAACATCAGTCAAAACCGAAGTGTATGTCAGACACACACAAAAAAAATGCAGTACATCTCTGTAATACATGCACATTTCTCCATGTTGTATCCCTTTGCCAGGAATGCTCTAGCCTCATCCTCGGTCCCATGGTGGTTGGCGCTCACCTCTCTCTCTCCCTCCCGCCCCCCTCCAGTTATAGAATACCCCTCTGCGTCTAAACGTCTAATGCAGGTCAATAGACCTGCATAAGATGTGATGATGACGTCAGTGGTACTTAGACTCCTGGAGCTTATGGAAGAAGAGATGCTGAGGGCTATACACCCAAATCACCTGATTACTGGCAGATTTGATCATTGTTATTAAGCCTTTCATTCTCACCTTCTCGAAAAGTGCAAAACTTCTTTTTTACTGGTCCAAATATCTCATCGTTCACAATGTCGGGGTCTTCCAAAACTTTCTTCTCCACATAGACTATCATGTTCTTTTCCTAAATAAGAGACAGTTGGAGACAATAAATGCAAATTGCCAAGAAAAGGCCGGCCACAGGAGAACACAGCTGCATTCTCAGAATTCGGTGTTGGGTGGAAGACAGTTGCCAAAACGAGAAGCAAAATGGGCTTTACAGCAACAATAGGAAAAAAAAAAACCTACTAAATACTAAAATCGACATTCTTTAATGAAAATTCATCCATAGTCAGTACAGACAGTTCCCCAGTCACTAATGATCACTTCACACATAACACGCACTTCCTCTGGGAAGGATAAGAGAAATAAAAACATGTTCTGACGGTTTTTCTAATCCTTCCTTTCTACTTAAATCATTATATTTGCTCTGTCCCCAGATTCCCGTCACTTTCTCTTCTTAGAGAGAAATGGGGGTAAAATCTCCCCATCACCAAGACAGACCTGGCAGGAGTTTTAATCCTCCGATAACAGTAAAGGTTTGCCCGTACTCTTCATGATGGGAACAGCCTCAAGTAGGGATGCACCAATACCGATACTAGTATCGTGCCCATGCCGAGTATTTGAGTGAGTACTCATACTCGCCCAAATGCTCTGATACCTTCCCCGATATTTTAACTTCCGACATAAGAAACCCGGGCAGCGAGTCATTACACGCTGCCCGGCTTCATGCTCCCCCGATGTAACGAGGGAACATGGGGCCGGCTTCCCGGCCATTCAGGAAGCTGGGCAGCGTGTAATTCGGGAAGCTGACCAATGAGAAAGCCAAGCTCCATGTAATGACGCGGTGCCCGGCTTTCTGATTGGCCGGGAAGCTGGCTTCATGCTGCCTCGTCACCTTATGACGAGGGAGCATGGAGCTGGCTTCCCGGCCAATCAGGAAGCCGGGCGCCATGTCCTTACACAGCACACGCCTTCCTGATTGGCCAGAATGCCGGCTCCATGCTTTCTCATCACCTGGTGACAAGAAGCATGGAGACGGCTTCCCTGCCAATCGGGAAGCCGGGTGGCGACTCATTACACACCGCCTGGCTTCCTTAATGGGACTTCCGGTATCGGTATTCAGTATCGGCAAGTACTGGGGAAAAAAATATTGGTACTCAATACCGGAAAACCGCTATCGTTGCATCCATAGCCTCAAGTTTTTTTTTTTTTAAGGATGGTATGTAATTTCAGTAGGCACCACAGTGCCATTTCAGCTCAGTTACCTTAACGTAGAACTGCAGTCCGGCTACGGAGATTTAAATATTTGCATATTCTTCACAATCAGTAAATGAGCTTTAAAACTAGCCTTCAATTACCTCTGTAGCTGCAGTTACTGTGAAATAATTAATCCTCAAAATTTTACAGCTCAAGTACTAAAGATGTGAAGGACTCCAACTCTAGGGCTGCAACTAATGATTATTTTCATAATTGGTTAGTTGGCTGATTATTTTTTCGATTAATCGGATAAAAATAAATAAATACCATCCTTGATTTAAAATAAGATACACAAATGCAGTGTTACAAACAAAGTTTACTTCAGAATAAAACTGCATGCACAATTTTTTGCAATCGCACTGCACTAGAACGCACGGCATCGCTGTACCGTGTGTTCCACTGCGTTTGGGGTGCCTTCGAAATGAATGGAACTGCATCGCACCTCCCGCAGCAGAATTTGTCAGGCCGAAACCGAAAATGACTTTCCCACCTTTTATCATTTTTAAAGAAAATAATTGTATTGTAAGCACATGGCCCTTGTATAGCTGCAGCCTGGGAATGACGGCTGCCAGTGGCAAGATTTCGCAGACGGCAGCTGAATGTAAATACAGCAGGTAGTGGGCTGATGCAATAGCCAGCCTGCTATTGGCCATTTCAAATTGCAATAGAAGGCTATTGCACCTGTCCACTGCTTGCTGTGCCCTCCTGATCTTGTGCTGTACAGGAAGTTCATGGAAGCTGAGAGTTGGAGCCCGCTGTTTGGAAACATGATGACTAACTACTTGGGTCAAAAAATGTAAACACACAATTTGCTGTGCAGTGTATATTTGTTTGGTTTAAGTATTAAAAAAAGTTTTATAGTTTGAAGAAGAAGAAAAGAAGAAGAGGAGAAAGAGAAGAAGGAAAAAAATTGTATTAACCCTTGCAGTAGGGCTATCCACGCACTGCAAGGGTTAAGTGCTCGCTTTTGTCTAGGTTCAAAAAACAACAAAGTTACATTCACCCAAATCTTCGAGGCGGCCAGCTGTCACAGCGCTCCCTCCAGCCTGTCTCCTACACTGCAGCACTGGAATGTTCCTTGGCATCTTCATGTCTATACACAGACAGAGGGAGAGAGGCTGCAAGAACCGGCATAAGAACAAGCCGGCTCCATGGCTCAGGTGAGTATAAAACTATTTCACTACTTTAGGCAAGATACCAGGGGAACAATGAATACCCCAATCTCTGGAGAAGAGACTCCAGTCTAATGCAAGAATGTCTTTTTGTGAAATTTGGGGTCCTCATAGTTCTCAGGATCTCATGGAAGGAGTGTGACATCACCCTCACCTAGGGAAGGTATGTATATAATCTAGACAAAAACAAGCAGGTAACCCTTGCAGAGCAGATGCGATCCCACTGCAGGGGCTAATTGTTCTTCTGGAGTTTTTCTTTAATACTATTTGAAATAAAGAGATTTGCAGTTTAGCTACTAAAGGAAGAGTGGATCAGCCACTCAGAAAAAGCTTTCTCACTGCTAAGGAACTGCTGAGATACAAACAGATTGGAGAATGAGCCAATAGAGGGAGCTTGCTTCTACAAATCAGGCTAGGTTCAGATATCAGCGATCCTCGGATGCGAGTCCCAGAACCGCGCACAATTGCGCACAGAACCTAGCGATTGCCGCGTGGCCCCATTGATTTCAATGGGGTTATATCCATGCAGCAATCGCTTTTAGAGGCTCAATACAATCAGGCTAGGTTCAGATATCAGCGGCCCCGGGGACCGTGCACGATTGCACACAGCGTTTGCCGCGCGGCCCCATTGATTTCCATAGGGTTATAACCCACACGGCAATCGCTGAAAAAAGGAACATGTACCTCTTTTTGTGACACACACATACCGTTTTTTTCAACTACGATTGTGCGCAGGCAGTATTGTGGCGGGAAACTGCACAATCTGCCTGGCGCAACTGGGGTGCCATTACAAAATAATGTCATTACAAAATGGTGTGCGAATCCGTGACCGTGCGGTTTTGTGCACGAATGCCATAGTGTGTACCTAGCCTCACTTGGCAGTTGAGCTATCAGGCGCACAGCTATTGTATGGTTTTAGGTGGGTCACAGACTTGCATTTTCAGAAGGAGCAGTAATGTACAATCACTGTGTAACACTGCACTGAGTGCAGAAACTACCAGTAACACATCCAGAAGAATATTTGTATTGGGTTCATCTCCTATATGCATTTCTAAAAATATATTTGCAAAGACGATGCATTCCATACATTATACAGTACATACTGGTGCATGCAGCTACCCCACTCACCTCTGTAAGGAACACGCAGAGCTCCTTGAAGGGCTGCAGTAAACTCGCATCCCTGACTTTCTTGATCACCAGCACACTTTTGGGTGGTTTGTTCCACGTTAGTAGCTGGCTCGCTGGGTCCTGAAGGTGCCTGGAAAACAGCAACAAAACCTTTCACTTTCTGAAAGTTACTGTTCAATCGAACAAAACAAAAAAAAAAGCAGTTTCCCTGTTCTTGCCAACTGAGACTCTGCTAACAGCAAAGCAAGATGAAGACACTACAAGCCGTTCAGAGCAACAAATCAGATGTCTTTAACGCATAGCTTGCCAGAACACTGAAAAGTGGAATATGATTGGTGGCTTTAGATAAAGAAAAAGAATACTCCATTAAATCCTTTAATTTTACAGAAACAGCTTTGTGCATTAGGCGTACATTTGCACTGGTTGCACCTTCACCTTCACCTTCTCAAAGATCCTTGGGCAGTGGCAGCACAGCGACGTGACTTGTCTTATGAAAAAGTCTGCATATTTGGCTGGAAAGTAGATGCTAAACATATCCTCAATGTATTAGGCGAGTCAAAGCTTCGGAAAGAAGGCAAAAGAAGAAAAATAAAAATGACATTCAGACCGAAGGCAAGGCAAAGACTGCTTTGCAAGTACAGAGGACAGGCAGCAAGTGAATGATACAAGGTATGTGTGCGATGGGCTAAGTGTGTCCAGCCTTGATTGGTCCTGCTGGACTTATAATGTGGAACGTTCAGTCGAAAGGCTTCAGGAGCCAATCACAGTGCAAGGAACAGTCACTGAACCACTTTGGTAACCGAAGCCTCTGGTTACTGAGATTGCACTGGAGGCTATTAGATGTAATATTCCAACATATCATTGTCTAAAGCATTCAGGAACACCGAAGGGCACTGAAACCTACAATAAAAAAATACATATACAGTAATACCTTGGTTTAAGAGCATAATTCGTTCCGGAAGCATGCTTGTAATCCAAAGCGCTTGTATATCAAAGCGAATTTCCCCATAGGAAATAATGGAAACTCAAATGATTCGTTCCACAACCCAAAAATATTCATATAAAATGATTACAATACTTTACTGTAATATAATACTGTACAAAATATAAAGAAAAATAAACATTACCGGTACCTTCGTGGCTGGTGTGGGGGGGGGGACAAGAGAGAGGAGGATTATTGTGTAGGACGACTTTCACTGTCACTAACGGAATCACTGCTATCTCTTGACTCAATGGAATCTTTTTCATTTTGTGAAACCTTAACAAGGAATCTATTCAATGTGACATTGCATTGTCTTTAAACAGTCCCATCGCTTGCACTGCTACAGCCTTATTTCAGGTGGTGCTTTTCTACAAAATTTTGCTCTTATTGCAAGACATTTGCTTGTATATCAAGGCAACATTTTTCAGAAATGTTTGCTTGTCTTACAAAACGCTCTCAAACCAAGTTACTTGTAAACCAAGGTATTACTGTATATCTCAATCAAATAAATTGGAGTATCGGCATCGAGAAGGGCGTGTATATCAGTCTGTGCCAATGTATAGACTTCTATACAGCAACCTGGAGTATACAAACACTTGTATACTTGAGCAAATATACTTTGAGTGGCATTGTGGCTCACAATTTTTCTCCAAGTTGAAGGTCCCTGAAGTCTATTGTTCTCTGGACACTCTGAGCGAACTTTATCAAAACTGGAGCAGACAAAACGCGGAGCAGTTACCCATGGCAACCAATCAGCTTCTCTCCTCAGTTTCTTCAGTTAAGATTTGAAAATGAAAGGTGGATGCTGATTGGTTGCCATGCACAGCTGCTCCAGTTTTGATAAATTCCCTTCTCTTTATGTACTGAGCTGCCCAGCCCAAGACTTAACCAGATATCTATATACATATGTATGACAAGTGGGGCCAACCCTACTCTAAAATTGCCCAACAGATGGATAATTGTTCCCAAAGGCCACCTGCGCTCCTTACGGTCTAAAGGTGCCCATACACCTTACGATTATCGTACGATAATCGTATGCGATCGACTTTTCGTACGACAATCGTAACGTGTGAATAGAGTGCCCGACCGATAGTACTGTACAATCGTACGACTTTTGACGGTCAAGCATGTTTGAAAACTTTGGTTGATCGTACGATGTTCGCATGGTTGGTGGCGTTTCCGTCCGTCAAAAGTCGTACGATTAACACTGCGCATGCGCAAACGAAAATAATTGCGGTCAATTACCGCAAGTCGTCCAGGTGTTTTTTTCTAACTACCGCTGATTGAACCTTGCGATAATCGGGGCAGGATGGGGCCGTCGTACGAAAATCGTACGGCGGTTCGATCATCGGACGAAAAGTTTAGTCCGATAATCGTAAGGTGTATGGGCACCTTTACAACTCCATATTATCAGTGGTGCTCGAGAGGATCGCACGGATGGCGCCGTGCAAAAACTCAACATAATCACAGAGATTCACCAGCACACATTAAAAAAGTTTGCAATATCAATATTTCGTTGATATGTTTATTTGTGAAAAGTCACGTCATCATAGGCTAACATTTCAGGACCTCGCAGGGACCATTCATCAGGGCGACACAGTGACAATATACATGTGTGAACACTAAGTATATATGCACATCAGGCCAGGTGCATGAAGAAACATCCCATGATGTAATTCCTGACAAAATTCAAATAATACACATCACAGAATAGTATAGAAAAGAATAGTTTAGTGAAGCAAACGCCTCTATCTCTGGATAGAAGAAAGAACCAAGATCCTGATCTTTGTAGATAAAGATACATTTAGATACCTCCATAGATTTTGTAATGGTGTTGTGTTTTTTTTGGGGGGGTGTGGAAGGATATAAGGTCGGTGTTAGTGGAGTCATTATATAAGAAATTAGAAGTCACATAATTAAATATAAGAAGGAAATGACAAGATGGAGGGAATATGTTTGTTGTATGTGATATTTTAAGGCTTGTTTAAATGAATTGGTTTTTATACTGTGAATGTATACATTTGTGGAATTATAGCAAAGTAATAAATAAATATTCTGTTAAAAAAACATACGTGTATCTTAAATGTTGCCTATGATGACATGACGTTTCACAAATAAACATATCAATGAAATATTGATATTGGAAACTTCGCTTTGTGTGCGTCGGTGAACCACTTTGATTGCAACAGATGGATAAGACATGCATTGTAAAAAGTGGAAAAGATTAATGGGAATAAGCCATGGGTAACCATAAAGCACTAATATTCTCGATTTGCTATATGTATACAACACGGACATATCGTAAGGTGCTTTATAAGTGCAGCCAGAACTACTTTTATTAGCTACAGAGAAGCTTACAATTCAGAGTCTATAGCGCAGCTTCACAGACACACACTTGCTGGGAGAAGTTTAGTCAGGATCCAGTTTTGTTTTTGGATTGTGGAAGGAAATTCAAGCAGACAGAGGGTACCAAATAAACACAAGGAAAAAATAGGAACTCTGATCAGATGGTGTCTTTGATGGGAACTGAACCCAGGACCCCTGCACTTCTAGTGCCGTGTCAATGGGAATAGTCCACATTTCTGCACACAAAGAAGAACTATGTACGGTGTAATGACCGCATTCATAGCCGATATAAAAGGATTATGACACTAGACAGCTTTTGTGTCATACAACAGGCTTCAGTTTTACCACTTTGTGTTCCCATCTTTTACAAACAGACCATATTTTATTACTATTGTATGAAAACATCTAATGAGATGAAGTTGATGCACCAGTACCGAGAACGGACCTCAGAACAACTTGTAGCAGCTCACTGAGGTGACACTTTAGCTGCTGGCAGTTCTAATGTGCCGGACATGAAAGAAAACAGAACTTGTCCGAGAACATTCCGACCGGTCTAAATGATGCTCTGGGGGTCAGCGCTGCGCTGATGCCACCATTTCTACACCCCGATGGATCGTCCAACACTGTGTGGACTACTACGCGTGTATAGGTACTTCAAACCCGGTCATATGTGGATGGAACAGACTGCAAGCACTCGCACAGAGTTTTGAAGGGTCATTGTGTGCACCAGAATGGCTTCTCTCCCCATACTTGTCAGTGGGAACACAAAAGCAGCTTGAAGCAGGTTTATTAGGGAAGGAGGTCATCTACACCAGTGAAGAAATTCTAACTAATATTAGAAGAGTCTTAAACTGATCTCAAATGCAAAGTGCGCAACATCCGCCCTTCGCCACAAGCCCGAATACTGCCTAGAAGGCAGCAATGGGGAGCAAGATGCTATAGATCAGGGGTAGCTAATCTTCAGCCCTTCAGCCATGATTAAACCACAAAACCCATTATGCAGCTGCCTCCGGTAGTCATGCCTGTGGCTCTATGATTCTTTACAATGTCTTATGGGATATGTAGTTTCCCTACAGCTAGAGGGCTGAGGTTTGGCTACCCCTGCTATAGAGGGACCGATTATCACATGATCCTCTTATCTCAGGAGAGAACTGCTGCTGCTCAACTCTTCTGCACCCTCTATGTGGCCTGACAGTTTGTAGATTAAATCAGGTCAATCTCCCCGATAACCTGGCTTTGTGTTTGCGAACCGCCTTATTTAATTTGAATTAGCAGTCCTAGCATACATCCATGACAGATATTTATGCAGTCAAAAGGCTCCTGCACAATGCAATAAACAGATGCAGCTCAATGGACTTCACACTTAATGTCACATACAGAAGCTGCTCACTTCTAAGATGGAGAGGACTTTGTCAGATGGTCTTGTCACAAGAGTTATTCAAATGGGACAAACCTGAAGGGACATATCCCGCTGTAGTAAACCATCAGTGCCCTGCATTTTAACAGTTGGGAAAAGCCAACGTGATCAGTAATTCCAGGATACATATCAATAAACTAGAATAATACTCTAGCTTCTTATGTTTCATTTGAAAGATCCTCCCTCCCAGAATTCCCAGCTCCTCCCACTTGTTGTGGTCATTGTGGCCCATTACTCTCCCTGCTGGATCATTCACTCGTGTTACACTACAGATGGAGGAAAGTCAATGGGAAGCCATTGGACCTTAGATGTATAAAAAGTCTAAAAATTAAGATTTTGGGTGAGCCAGCCCTTTAAAATAAAATCTCTAGCGCTACTGAAAATA